TTATAAGCATTCTTGTTTGCTAATTGGTTATAAGGGAGTGACGCAAGGAGTTCTTTACTGAGCATGTCTCTATACCTGTGTTTTAGCTATGTATCTCATTTCCATACATGTATGTTTCATTAGCATACTTTCTCCCCACCTAGGGGTGTGAATCTTAATATTTAAATCAGCTCTTTGCCCTACTCCACTAATTCTGTTTTTGTTTTCAAGTCTCCTTTATCTAAGACTGTCTTCTCCTTATCATTGCAATTGAGCATTAGTTACAGAACAGAGACTTTTGCTTGGGCTATGTGTAGTGGTTTCTAGGTCAAACCTAACATCAGCACAGGGGTTTTCTTCTTCTTTCTTCTTCTGCTTCTTTCCTCCTGCTTCTACTTCTTTTTCTTCCTTTTCCTCTAGCAGCACACACACTTACAGATTTTTATACCCTCAGTTCAGCTGCTCCGTAGCACCCTCAGTAGTGTAAATCATTGTCTTTTCTATTGACAAGGGGTTATCTGGTTTGGACCATCTCAGGAAACTGATTGATAATCAGGAAACACTTAAGATTAGGGAGTAACCCAAATACTTGGGAGCCAGCTTGAGATTCCTATGGGTGGCAGATATACTGATGGGATATCTCATGGTTTCTTCAGGAACAATAGATAGCTTGCAGCATCAGGATTTTGGATTTTTACTTGTTGTGCACAAGCCTCAGCTTAGCATGACTTTTCCAGATCTTACTATAGTCTTTTAACAGACTTAAAGCAATAATTGGGGTGCTCGTAACCTTTTGTGGAGAGGACTCCCACCAGTCGTCTTGGGAAAAGTATGACAACACCTGTAATTAGGGCTCCAGCAGGCTGGATGCTGTGATGAACCCTTAACCATTGTTCAAATGTTGCCCATACCCCCTCTGACTCGGTCTCTTACCTCAGTATTCCCTTACCCGGCAACCGAGTTTTAGTCAATCAAGTTTAAATAGGCCTCCCATAGTGGGACCGGGGAATGTACGGCCCGAGATGCCTATTAAACTTAGAGGTGTGTGTGTGTCTGGGGGGGAAAAGTCCTTAGTAAATCCAGATTAGAACTCGTCTGATAAATGCTGAGCTGGGTGTGTGTGAACATGGGTTGATTAACATTTGGAGCACAGATTCCCCATCATGCAGTGCTCCCCTGCTTCTCTGGTCCCAGAATTCACTGCAGTCTCTGCTTCAGGCTTTCTGTTCTCCATCTCTCATTAAATGAATGGTCATCTGGTTCCATCTCAGATGCAAATGAGACCTAGGGCAGTTGTTTCACTCTTGTCACCCTTATCTGGAGGGTCTTAGGTGTGTCTCTCACTGCATCTTAATCAGTTTCGTTTATGTAGTGGAGGGGAGGTGGGGGGGTGAGTCCTTGTGAGTCAGACAGACTGCATCCTGTGCCAGGGTTGCCCTAGAACACATGGCTGAGATGTAACACCTCCCAGCTGCCTGCTGGGAGCAGCCTGAGCTCTGTGGCTGGCAGCAGCTGCTTGCCTGGCGGTGGTGTGCCAAGCAAAATGGCCGTGTGTGCCATGCTCGGCACATGTGCCGGGGGTTGATGACCCCTGGCATTGACAAATCAGTTATCACATGGGGCTATCCAAAACTACTACAGCCAAATCAAAGTTAAAAATCATGTGAGTATTGATTTGTTCAAATGTGATCGCTCAGTGAGAAATGCAGTGTTCAATGACTCACAGATGGCCTATTCTGCTTGGTAGCAACAGTTAAGATGGAGTGAGCCAAAGAGATCATCAAAGTAAATTTGCTTTTCCCTTACTGCCCTTTCCCTGAATTGATGGATATTAACTGGAAGAACTACTCTATAACAGCCACACTTCATTTTGATTATTTCCTATTTTTCCCCACTCAAAGCATAAAGTGTGGGAGGTACTGACATCTATACTTAACAAAGGTGTAAGAGGTAGATCAGACCCACCTTTTTGTAGGGGTGTCACACATAATAATAAAATAACAATTTGCTTTATTTAATTGTCAAGAAGGTAATACATCTTTGAAAAATATGTAGAATCCAGATAATAGTAATAAGAATGATGATAATGTTAAAAAGATTAAAATTAAAGCAAAACAGGTTAAAAGTGCCTTTGAAAGCATATGCTGTAGAAACTAGCCTAATTTTTCCAATATATCCTATATATTTTTCTTCTGTTAAAAATGTACTAAATGCAAATATTAAAAATCTGGACAGGAATTCTATGATCAATCCTTCTTTCTTAAACCTAATTCATTTAAAACCAGATAGTGTACACAACACCTAGTTAATTTTTGCAATACCATCTAAGAATTAGGTATTATCTCCACATCAGGGAATAGATTTCTGTATGCCTCACTGATGGGGAGATATTTTTAGTCAGTAGGGAATTCAGAGAAGAGAAAAATTGTCCTGCACCTGGAGGTATTGATTTAGGAGGGACAATTTTAAAACTGTTTTGCATGGTTACGTGATGAGTCAGGAGGGTTTGTGATAGCAATCTACAAATATTTGAAGGCAGTAAACTTCAAGGCTAGAAAAAATGTTTATAATTGTACAAGGGAGTATTAACATGAGTGATTAGAAAAAATTAAGATGGAGAAGATGTACACTGAATGTCAGGAAGAATTTCTTAAGCCTGCAATGTACTGAGGTATGAATACAAGGGAAGAAATGCAAGAGAAATACTGCAAAGCACATTTTTCAAGGTAAGAAACTAGAAACTGTCCTGGAAAACAAATTAGTTTGTATATAGCAGGAAACAATTTGATATTGATGGGTATATGGACAGAAAGACGTACAGTGTCTCCTTTATCCTCTGCTTCTAAGATTCAAGGACTTCACATTTAAGCTTGCCTTGAGTCTACACTACAGAGTTTGACCAGCGCAGCTACATAGCAACCTCTTATCAACATAGCTACACCAGCACAACTCAGTGTGGGTGCAGCTATCCTGAAAGAAGAGTACTTTGTCAGCTTTGCTTTTGTGGTTTAGGGAGGTGGTGTAGCTGTGCTCCTGGAAAAACTTGCTCTCGCAACACATGCTGAATCTTTACTAGGTCTCTGTACCCATAAGGGCTGTAAAGGCTCCATATTGTAGACAAAGCAGTCTTGCCAATCCTAAAATCATGAGTTTGGTAAAAAAATGGTAAAAAAAAAAAAAGATCTTTTCTTTAAAAAAAGAGTATTGTTTGTTTGCTTGTTTTTAAATTGCTTTGCCCTTTCAGAAATTTTCAGAGTATAGTATGATCATGTTTTCAAACTTCTCTCTCCAACTATGTTACTATGTAGACTAGATACTAGGGCTAGAAAGTGCTATCATTATGCTTTAACTCTAGGCTACCTTAAGTGTTGCCACCAAGCAGAATGGAACATCTATCAGACATTGAACCCTGCATTTCTCATTGAGGGAAGAATCACTTTTTGCCCCTCTGCACTCATGGATGTGGGCTTGTGTTTGTTTCAACGAAAAGTTAGCTTGAAATGTCCATTTTTGTTAGATCGCATAGCATGTTTTATATATATATATATATTTTTTTTTTTTTTTTCCTTCTTCCAGTTTTACCCTTTTGAATTTAAGTGATTTTGTATACAAAACCCAGTGAAGTAAATGTTCTCATTAGCTTTAATGAGACCAGAGTTTGGCTTTACTTTTCTCATTAAATAAAAAAAAAAGAGTGCCCATTAACTTCAGCGTACACTGGTTCATCCTCTAAATTGTTCTGTAATTGATGAGGTCAGATGAGAGCAGGGCAATCTATACTGAAGCATTCCCCAGAAATATTTTTACTTCTCCACAGAAGTATTTTTACTTCTGCTTGTCAGCATGCACTGTCCCAACATTTCTCATTTTGTGGAGATGCATCCCATTTAGATTAATTTTAAATCTGTTTTTAAGATATTTAGACTAGAATCTGACCTCAACTCCCAGTGATATAATATGACAGTATGGCAGTAATATGACCGCCTTTTTTCCTTAGTTGACTTACTCTGGATTGACAGCAGGATGTGAAGACAGAATCTTGCCCTCCCATTAATACATACATAAATACACACACACACACGAACATATAGTTTGGTTCCTAAGTTCACGGAGAATCCATTCATACTAAGAATAAATCACTGAACCATTATTATAGTCTATAAGCCACAGAATGCATAGTTATTATCTAGAATCACTTCCACTGCTGGTTCCTCAGATGTGAAATGAGCACAAATGTGCAAGGCATCTACCAGAGCACTTCTGCACCACGTGTGTGTGCACGGAGAGACTTACCTCCCATACGATTAGCAGGCTGTTTTTTGCTTATTGTAGTTTGAATGTTGCTTACTTTATTGCAGTCTGAATGTTGCTGTTTATACATATACAGATATGTACGTATGTACACACATATATGTATGTGTATATATATGTATATATCTATGTATGCACATACACACACCTATACTAGTATAATCTAGTTGGATTTTATATATATATAGATATATATATAAAATCCAACTAATTTAGGTGAACCAAGTCTACAGTCTCAATCCTGCAACCAGGCACATAGAGAAGGAAGATGCTGGTACCCATAAGAAAGCTCACTGCTGGGTGGAAGCCATTTGCACAGGCTCAGTTGCAGGAGCAGGAACTGTGGAACACCTGTCTGCCCCTTCTGATTTTTACTATTGCAATAGATGATGCAGAAAAGGCTGAAGTACTCAATGCCTTTTTAACCTCAGTAGTCACAGGCAAAGTCAGCTCCCAGACTACTGCACTGGGTAGCACAGTTTGGGGAGGACATAAGCAGCCGGTAATGGTGAAAGAACAGGACTGTTTAGAAAAGCTGGACGTGTACAAGTCCATGGCTCTGCACAGGGCCCAAGCATTATTTCTTTGGGCTCCCTCCCACACACACACCATTCCACATACAGAAAATCTCATGAATCTGTGGATTAGAGCACAGATTCAAAGCAACCAATAACATTTGTTTTACATTCCATTCAGTCCTAAGATATGTGATGCTAGAGCCTGAGGAACTGGACGAAGCTTCTAAACGTCTACTTCACAGGTATCCTACAGATCTGAGAATTTTCCTTGTGAAATGTTGCATCTGAAAAAATATCTTCAAATCTACTTTTGGAAACAAGTATGAACTTATTTATTAAATGAGATTTACAAAAAACAACTGCAACTAATTTTCAGTGAAGCAGGCATAGCTATATGGATCTTTTGCATACTGCTCGTGACAGTAGCATAAGCTGAAAGAAGTTTCAGCAAGCTAGCACTCATCAAAAACTGCAGGCGTTCTACTGTGGGACAAGAACAGTTAAGCCACCTTGCAATTTTGTTTACTGAGTATGAACTTGCAAGAGAAACTGACTTTGGGGAGATAATTCATGGTTTTGCAATGAAAAAGGCCAGAAAAATAAAGCTTTAAAGTGAATTGGTCTATTTATAAAATGTTTGCAGCCATGTCGGTCCATTAGAACAAAGAATCAAAACATCAACTGGATAATACCATTATTAGGATGAACAATCAAAAAGTTACAAAGTAGTCAGCAATGTAGAATGTAGTTTCAGAATTAAAATAGAAAATTTTCTTTCATGATTCATGAGATTTTATGTATGTGGGATAGTGTGTGTGTGTGTGGGAGGGGGCCTGCCTTACAAGTTTGTACTGGGCCCAAGGAAATGATGCTTGGGCCCTTGCACATGTGTGTGTGAGAGAGAAAGAAATGTCCTTTCCTTCTAGGCACTAACCCTATCCCTGTTTCAGTTCTCTGTGCAATGTTTAGACCACCAGGCTTAACTCATTACTCACTTTTGGGCCTGTAAACCCTACCAGCAACACTGTGGCTTCCACTGTCCCTGGGATGGCTGTCCCTTGTTATATGGTTCTTTGTCCCTCCCTTCGCTATCAATATACACAAGGGACTCTGGGACTTGTAGTTCTTGAGACAGCATGTCACATAGGGAAGCATAAATCCCTCTGTGTCTCAAACTACAAGTCTTAGAATTAACAACTACACAAGCACACTCTCTCTTGTCACCTTAATTATAAGTTTATGTAGTTTATGGGGTATGTAATAAAAGCCCATTAGTCAGTTTAGGCCAGAATTAACAATTGACTAGAATTCCGAGAAATTGAACCCTAAAGGATTTTAGACAACTAATCAGAAACTGAGGACCCTAAAGGTTCACCAGTGGTATGGAAAGTCCTAGAAACTGAGAGCACTAAGAGTTCACTGCAGAGGAAAATTCCACTCAGTGGCTAAAATCTTCCCGCCAAGAAATTTTCCATGACATAATATCCGAGCCCAAATATGGGAGTAGTGACGAGCTTGGGAAGGAGGGGCCCATGATGCCAATTTACCCGCTATGTAAACCGTAACCTACTGTCCCAGTTTGGAGATAACCTCACTTGCAGAACACCGAAGGAAGAATTGCAAGTGTAGGCCGGATCAGACTAATCACCTGAACCACCCTCTCCGTGAACATGAATCTCTTAGTTCACACTGAAGCCGCGGAGCGCCCGAGTGGGACCGAAGGAAGGGACAAGAACAAATCAGTATTCCTATCAGTATTGAGAACAGATCAGTAGTCCTATCAGTATTGAGGCCAGCTCATTGAACTGTACTACCGAGGCCAGCCCATTAAATTGTACTACTGAGGAATGAAACCATATCTAGGTGTTTGGCTTCTCGGAATCCTAGGATTGTAAATATAATCTAGTAATAACTTTTCTAGTTCAAATTATATAGTTAGTTGTAATTGTCATTGGTTAAAGAAGTGCATTTAGAGTATTGTTCCATATATATAGTTATTGTGGTTTTGATGTTTATGGTATTTCTTAAAATAAAATTGTGTTGCATAAATTAAGTGTGAAATCATTGTGAAATCGTGCAATTAGTTGAAAATTCCCCCAGCCAGTGCATCAAATGAAACAGTAAGTTGTGTGGGATCTTCTCTATTCCATAACCCACTAGAGAGCATCTCTTCTACAGAAGGGCCTTGGGCTGGCCAGCAACTCACTGTTCAGAATATTGCTTGCTCTGCTTCTGATTGGCTTCAGCAAATCTCACAGTGGAGACCCCATATAGGTAGTAAATAACTTTCCATACATATCCTCAAGCATGACCTACAATGTAGCGTTCAGGTTTTTTTCCTCGTGGTAATAGGGTTGCAGCCTGGGCCGGGCCCTCCTGGATCTCTGGGCTCTGGTAAAGTGTACCCTTTCCTTCCCCACGCTTGGACCCTGGGTCCGCATGCTATGACCCTGAGGATGCTGAGGGAGTTCGCCAATGTGACTGCAGAGCCGCTAGCAATTATCTTGGAAAACTTGTGGCAATCAGGAGAGGTCCCAGATGGCTGGAAAAGGGCAAATATAATGCCCATCTTTAAGAAAGTGAAGAAGGAGAATCCAGAGAACTACAGACCAGTCAGCCTCACCTCAGTCCCTGGAAAAATCATGGAACAAGTCCTCAAGGAATCCATTTCTAAGTACTTGGGGAAGGAGGTGATTAGGAACAGACAGCACAGATTCACCAAGGGCAAGTCATGCCTGACCAACATGAGTGCCTTCTGTGATAAGATGGCTCTATGGATGCAGGGAGAGCAGTGGACATGATATACCTTGACTTTAGCAAAGCTTTTGATGCAGTCTCCCACAACATTCTCACCAGCAAGCTAAGGAAGTATGGACTGGATGAATGGACTATAAGGTAGACAGAAAAATGGCTGGATTGTTGGGTTCAAAAGGTAGTAATTAATGGCTTGATGTCTAGTCGAGAGCTGGTATCAAGTGAAGTGCCCCAGGGCAGGGTCCTGGGGCCAGTTTTGTTCAATATCTTCATCAATAACCTGGAAGATGGGATGGAGTGCACCCTCAGCAGGTTTGCAGATGGCACCAAGCCAGGGAGAGTAGTAGATATGTTGGAGGGTAGGGTTAGGATTCAGAATGACCTAGACAAATTGGAGGATTGGGCCAAAAGAAATCTCATGAGGTTCAACAAGGACAAGTGCAAAGTCGTGCAGTTAGGATAGAACAATCCCATGCACCAGTACAGGCTGGGGACCAACTGGCTAAACAGCAGAAAAACAGCAGGTCTGGAGAAAAGGACCTGGGGTTATAGTGGACAATAAGCTGAATATAAGACAACAGTGTGCCTTTATTGCCCAGAAGGCTAGTGGCATCCTGGGCCGCATTAGTAGGAGCGTGTCCTAGCTGCCTGCGGAGGGTTCGGGATTGAGAGTATGGTCGGGGGTAGAGAGGTAAGAAAGATTTATTGACTTAACAAAAACACAACTATGCGTAGTAAGAAAACAAACAATGACAGACAAAAGCAATTCACGTCAGCAACTTCATAGCTTCATAGTTTCATAGTAGCTAGGGTCAGGAGGGTCCTGAACAGATCGTCTAGCCTGAACCCCTGCAACA